CAGTGTGTAGGACGCACTCTACTGGTTCCGTTCCACATACAACTGTGTCATCTTCAGCAGGAGTGGATCTTGGTGTCCTCTTTGGGCGTGAACACCAACTTTGGGAGATACTGCTTCTCTGGATCAGGTATAATTCCTCCCTTCCCTTTTTGGTTCAGATCTGGTTCGATTATGGTTCAAGTAGGATCATTGAATATTGTATTCTAAATTTAGGGAATACGATTCCCAGTTGGGAAAAGGTAGGAAAATTTTTGAAATTCGCCCACCYATTCCGCAATCTTTATGGCATCCATTAGATGGATCCTACTATTCTTTCAGTCTTGGCATTAGGTTCCCTCGACTCAACATTTCATTTTCTGTGATGGGATACATTTGCTACTAACATTGATTCATATAGGTATATTTGTTTCTCTAACCAATATATACTTTTGGGTGTTTCTCCAGAACCAGGGGGTCGGTGGAACAATAAGAGCTAAAAAGATTAATATTCTTGTCCATAAGTTGGCCCAATATGGTAAGGAAAATTCCACTTTAGTATCTTGAACTTTGAGGGCAGTGTCAAGTTAGTAACAAAACTTTCAAACATGTCACTACAGTATTTAAACTTTCAAAAAGTGTCAAATTGGTCCATGTTAATCAACCATCAATTATCTGTTGAAAATGCCAAAACTACCCTTCAAAAGAAGACACTATTTATTGTCTTCTACCTTGAGATTTAACTGGTTATCTTCAAAGAAAAAGAGAGAAAACCATGAAATATGACAGAGGGAAACAATAATTGAAAGCAAAGAAATAATTAGACAATAATGTGTTTCATATCTAAACATAGAAGACAATGAACAGTGTCTTCTTTTGAAGGGTAGTTTTGGCATTTTCAACAGATAACTGATGGTCAATTAACAGTAGAGACCAACTTAACACTTTTTGAAAGTTTAGGTACAGTAGTGACACGTTTAAAAGTTTAGGCACTAACTTGATACTACCCCCAAAGTACAAGCCTTTAGGGTACTAAAGTGGAATTTTCCCTAAACAACAGAAATATGATAAAAAGATGATTTTACCAAACCAATCTGGATCTCCTACCCACACCCACCCATTGGACACTATAATTGTACATTGATAACATATCCCCATGAATAATAAGATATAAATATGGAGATGTTCTCAATGTGCGGCTGTAGTGATATATGGATAGGAGATCCAAACACTTGAAAACTGTGTTGGATGGAGTTTGAATTTGCTGACCACAACACATTACCGGTCATGTTCATCTAGCCACACATTGGGAATTGTGTGACAAAGTGAATGTGGTCAGCAATGTATTATAGTCAGCAGATCTGGACTTGACTGGATGTGGATGACTGTTTATACATCTTTTTTGATAATTTGCATTAATATATTTGATCTATAAAAAAATAACCTGTAAGCATACTTCACCCCACATTCACAGCTCAACATTCATTGGGAATATCTCCTATTTGTTATTGGGAGATATTCTCAATACATGAATGCCTGGTTGGGATGGGCTGTGAGGTGCATTCTATGGGTTGTTGATGCCAATTCTGCAGCTCAGGTGCACTCTATGGGAGAGTTGGGATCTTCTACCAATAAAACACATTCCAAGTTCCAACCTTCTACCAACTCTAACACCGCACATCTCACCATGAGAATGAGGCCCATCATAAAAGTGGGACCTGCCATATATGAGATGTGCAATGTGAGATCATGTTRTTATTAATAGATGGTTAGAATGAATTTTGTTGGCAAGTGATCCTAACTCCTCATGGGAGAGTATTAGGGTAACTAATGCTCTCCATTATCTTTATAGCAAAAACTTGGGATCAATCCCACCAGCAACTGGATATGAAGTGAAATGGCAGATCATGCTATGTCGGGCCTTCTTGGTAAGGGGGCTGATCAAAAACTGAAAAATCAAATCAAATTAAAAAAAAAAAATTGATCAATCAAACCGACTAGAAAATATATTTATATGTATATATACAAATATATTATTTATTTAATTTCAGTTCAATTTTGGTTCGAGATTTTAAAAAACCAAAAGACCGGTTTGGTTTGAAAAAAAAAAAAAAAAACCACAATTTGAAACACTCCTAGGCCTCAAATCATATTGTCACGTGGAAGATTTTTAAACCGTTTATTAGAGACAGCACAGGTGAGACTTGAGATGGTCATGTCACTCATGCATATCAAGAGTTACAGTTACACTGTTACGACAGTCGGCTGTCATAGTGCCATCGGCGATTCCGTGTCCGAGTTAGTCCGATAACTCGGACGGGTTGCTAGACCTTACTCATCGTCTACCCACTTCGGTCCAATTATTGAGATTTGAGATCAATAGGATTCTCCATTTTTCCTTTCTTTTTTTTAGGCAAAAGGCAAAGGAATATACTGATGATGGTTTTGGAATTTGGATTGCATAATACTTAATTAATGATATTAAATATTAAATATTAATATTTTTTCTAATACGGTGAGCTTCGATTAGCAGCTCCCTAATAAAGCAGAGAGCATTCGACTTCAAAGGAAAAACGCTCAAAACACTTCTGGCAAGAAATCCCGCTCGATCCCATTACAAAGAGCTCGCTTCTCGAAACAGGTGTACTATTTATTTACATTTTCTAAAAGAATATATGTATTTTACTTGTTTTTCTTGCTCGATTTACGGTTTTTGGCTTTATCATTTCATGTTTTTTTCTCTCTTTTTACTTATTCTGCAATCTGTAAACGCTTCTTGGAGCTTCTTGGGAAGCCGGGGTTTATCGAAATTTAGGGTTTAAATTAGAGCTATTGGGCTAAAGCGGTTGATTTTTGAAGGTTCAGCAGGCTTGGAAGCTATTTGACTTTTGTTTGCTTTTCCGACGACGATTTAGTTGCAGGTGTGCGTTATAGGAGCTTGGTCTTGGTTTCGAGTCTGTGAAGATGGTATGCTACTGCTTGACCTGGTTTTGTGTTAGGATTGCCGCTTTTAGGTATGTAGGGCATTCCTGTTGGTATTTTTACTCACTCGGTGGTATCATTGCAGCTCCCTCTTTCACTACTGAAGACAGCACAGGGTCATCCTATGGTAAGAGCCTTGTTTCTGTTGAAATGATTTTAGGGTTAGGGTTTTGGGTTTTGAGGGTTCCATTGACCATTAGAATGCGTCGTATCTGTTCAAAACTGCATTTTTGTTGTTGTTTTTTTAAGAGGTGACTTTCATCTCTTTTTTTTTTTTTTTTTCCTGCTCTATATTTGAGCGCTTTCAATTCCTTATGCTACGGTTGTTGTTTGTTGGGATAGCTGGTGGAGCTGAAGAATGGAGAAACTTACAACGGGCATTTGGTGAATTGCGACACTTGGATGAACATTCATCTACGTGAAGTTATCTGTACTTCGAAAGTATGCTCTTTTTTGCTTAACTTGAATCTGAGTTGCCGTTTGATTAATAGTTCCRTCTTCTCTGATTCGTAGATCTGGTCTAACTTATAGGATGGAGACAGGTTTTGGCGAATGCCAGAATGCTATATCCGTGGGAATACAATTAAGTATCTTCGAGTTCCAGATGAGGTATGTTTAAGATTTATACATGTCGGCATTCTTTTACTTCCTATTTCCTTTCTATCCTTTTTCTTTCGGATTCTTTGGATGCCTACTTATTTAAATATTGGATCATGATTACAGGACCCTCAAGATTTTAAGTACAAGTAGTTCATCTTGTTATTATACTTGTTATGTACTTTTGGAGGTTTCTTTTTAGGGGTTATGCTATCAAACCGGAGAGGCAAGATTTTAGAGTGAGTCCCTCATTCCACTAGGTTCCTTGATAAGCAAATGCAGTGGGGACCAAGGGATGATTTATTATGGGAGTTCCCATTTTGATCTCAGGGCTTTCTTCCTCTTCTGTTTTGTCACTAGGCACCTAGAGAACTATCATCAAGCATGCTTAGGGGCAAATTGAAATGACAGTCTTTAGCTTTCAGGATGAAGACATTGTTCTTTTGGTCAGTAGATCCTTACATTATGTGGTAGGAACTTTGGTATAATAGGAATTTTTTGAAAGAAAAATAATTTTATAAAAGACAATAAAAGAAGGGGGAGAGATTCCACCCAGAGGTTCTTGGCATTTATGGCGTTGAGTTACTGATTCTGTTAGTTTTTGTTACCCCTTTGTTGGCTTGTAAGGTAGCTTAAGTCTACCTTCCTTTCCTTGACTTCTGCTACACACAATTATCACCTGTTTTGATGGGTTAGGAATGCTCATTTTCTCTCCTTCACATGGTGCATAGCACAGGCTACCTGCCTTAATGAACTTCATCCCATCTTTTCTTTTTCGTATTAATCTCTCTTTCCCCAGTTCTGGAATGACATGCTTTAGCCAAACCAAGACACTGGCATGTTACATCCTCCTTGTGGCATAGTCTGTTAGCTTATTCTAGTTACTTTGGTAGAGGCATCCTGCTAACTGTGCATCTCTCTGTTGGTAACTTTACATGAGAAGCCTTTTGTAGAACTGTGCATCTCTCTGTTGATAACATTGAGATTGGTTTTTTCCTGATTAGAGTTCCCTTCTCTTTGGCTACTGATCAGTCACTCTTTGCTAAATCATTGGTTATTTCAATCCCCCTTTGGTTTTACAATTTTTAGTTTTTTTTTTTATGATAAATGCTTCATTTTGTCAAGTTATGTGTGTGTTCCATGTTAGAAGGCTTAAACTATTTAATTATAAAGGATTTTGCATTGGGGGTGGTTTGAACAACAGAACAAGTTGACTCTGTCTTGGCTTCAGATATATTAGATGAAGCTTGCTGGTTTTCTGCTGTAGTGGCTGAATTAATCTGTTTTTCATAAATTGGATCTCGAAGTTGTCTTCTGCTAAGGTTTTAAAATTCTACTAAGTAGGGATACACTTTTTGGAATATAGTATGACATAAAATGTCACCATCATCATCATCAAAGCCTTATCCGAACTATATGGGGTCGGCTACACGAATCCTGTGTTACCATTCTGTTCTGTTTAATGCCATATCCATGTTAAATTATGGGCGCTTAAATCATTTCTTACTGCTTTGACCCAAGTCTTTTTTGGTCTAACCCTAGCCCTTCTGGCCCCTTCAACTTGCGACAGATCACTTCTTATTGGGTGCTATCATCCTTGTATATTTCCATCTTTGATGGTTGGGCTCTATCAAATATCTATCAGCCAAAATACATCCCCCAGGCTAACAAGACATTTGGATGAGTGCAACCATCATGTGTCTTCAAGCCTTTTCTGTGGTCAGTGGTCAAAGGTCCATATCTGAATTTTAAGGCTACCATTATGATTGATTTGGGATCTGAAGATCTTATTGTATAGAGCTATCACATCCTAGATCTTGATTACTGTAATTTTTTATTCTTGTTTAGATTTGCAAGTGAAGGATAGAAGTTGAAAAAAGGTCTCTTTTTCTACAAAAATTTTGGGTGTCCAGTAAATTCTTATAATTAACCTTCATTGGAATATGTGATTTCTTGGAGTATTTTGAATGCAAGAAGTGTAGTATTTTAGTCAAGGTAGCATCTTATTTGTCCAATAATAGGTTATGATTCATCCAAACTTCTCATGGCATTCTCTTGTATTAGAGGCCCAAATTTAGCCCTTTAGTGGACCTTCTTGACCTTGATATGCACGAATGCACAAGGTGGACTTGGCATGAAAAGCCTTACATAGGAGCCTTGAAATTTAGATTTTGTTTTCAGTGGCTGATTTTTCTGCATGAAACATTTTGTTTTCTCTCTGTCCCTTTACTAAAATATTTTGTCTCATGTTCCAAAGGACAATTCTGAGCCCTCATATGACACATAAATTACCTTTACCTCAATATTGGTAATGGTTGAAGATGGTAAAAGGATACTTTGATCTGTATGGGTTTACTCTCTTGTTTAGCAGGAAAGTTTGCTATTATGTCTATGGGGGCTGACATGGTAAAAGGATGCTTCTGGGTTAACCACATATTGTAATTTGTTCAGCTCAGGTCCATACTCAATCTTGTATTTCATTTATTCACTTTGAACTTGAAGGAGTAGCCCTTAAGTTTATTGTTCTTTTTCCAATTAAAGATATGACAAAAGGTTATTTTGTTGAAACTCACTACATGAAAGAGGGTGAAATGGAGAATTGTGTGGATCTATATTAGGCAATTCAGGCTGACAACCCAGGTGGCATTTGTATAGTTTGTGTATAAGCAGGGTCTAGTCTTGTTTATTCTGAAAAGGGAAAACCTAATTCTTCTTATTCTGGATTATTTTTGGAGGAAGAGTGATTTCATTCAAAACAAAGGAAGATGTACTCAAGAGGATGTGCAAGCTTCCAAAAGATTAAAAAATACTATTCAGATGTAATGTTGTTGCTATGTAAAATGGTTTAATTTAGTTTCATTTAGGAAGTATAATTATTTCYGGATGTTATTATTCATTTCCTTTATGGTATGTATACTTTATTCACTTATGACTATTTTTTGAAATAGTTTTGGCATGTTTATAAGATGAGCATAGCAGTGATGAGGATGTTATAGATTAGTGGCAATGATAGAAAGAATAGGATTAGAATTAAATGCATAAGTAGTAACCTTGGTAACCCTGAAGGTATAAAATGGGTTGAAGGTAGATTAAGAAGGTTTGGGCATGTGCTTTAGACACTTACTATGTACCACCAAGAAGCAATCTAAATGCAAGTTGATGGTGCTAGAAGAGGCAAGGGAAGGCCAAAATGGATATGGGTTGACAAATGTATTGGCTGACACTCTACCAAAAATAGGGGTGACTAGGGAAAGCTTTGTATGAATAAAACCAACGTTGGGATCAGAATTGTAATAGTTTTTAATCAAGAATTGATTGGCATTGGCCTTGTATCTTCTTCCTCCTATCCAGATTCTTGTGTAATATGGTTCTGAAATAAAAACTTCTATCTTACTCATCAAAAAAAGAAAGGCAAGTAGAGGTAGAGAAATGATTTTGAAAGGTTCAAACTTTGCCAGAGGGAGGATATGGTGTAGCTAGAGTGAAATGGCAAAGCAAGGATTTGCGTAGCTGACCACATTGAATTGGGATAAAGGCTTTGTTCAATTGTGTGCAGTTAACACAGACAATGATGTTGCTTGCATCAAAAAGGACAATGATGATGCAGAGTTGCAAGATATCCGATATCCTCTTATGGTATTTAATCTTGTTTTTTCTAGCCTGCTAGGGGTTCAAGCAATTGAACCAAATCTTGCACCAAGTCTAGCCATTGTTGAACTTGTTTTTGTTTCCAGGGCACTTGCCTTGCTAGTCTTCCTTCTTTACTTTAACCCTTCACTTTATGTGATCAATAAGTATGTTACGACTAATTATCAAAAAAAAAAAAAAGTATGTTATGACCATGTACACTTTAGGCCTGAGAATAGTTCACAAGTAATATGATGGAGCTAGTGGCCTTTGGCAGTCAATACAATTAGTGTATGCTTTTATTCATGTGCAAATATAATAGGTGTTATGGATATTGTTTTCTTCAACAATATAAGAAAATTTGCATCAGCTGTCTTTTTGCATGGTATGATTTTCATTTTCATATTACAAAATACTGACTAGTAAAATTTATGTTTTTTATTAGTTTGTTGTTGTTGCTGTTGCTGTTATTGTTGTAATCATTATAATGTAGTGAACTGTGAACCATCTCACTCAATTTTTTCCCTGGTTTTTTGTTTAATTGATTATCGTAATGGATATGTTTTTCAGGTAATTGATAAAGTTCAGGAAGAAACCAAGAGCCGTGCAGGTATATTTGCCTTGTTTTGTTGTGGTTCTTTTGGTCAAGGGGGCTGATTTGTTTCTGACTGATATTTTAGTGTAGCTGTGTATGGATCATAATCCATTCTCCTGGCAGGGGGTGTTTGCACACAAGTCCAGATCTAGTGTGAACACTAACCAATCACAATTCACGAGTGGATGCAGCAGTATTCCATACAAATGGGGTCCATGCTTAATGTGGGTCCTATGTATACGGGACACTGGTGTGTTCACTCACGATTGGTCATGTAGCCATGTTYGCACACTTGCATTCACAGCAGATCCTGTGCGTTTGCACAACACTTGCAGTTTATAAGGAATGATCCAGAGTTATTTGATGTTTATCGTTTATCAGTTTCAACTGCATATCTGCTATCCACGACAAAGGATGCCCTTCCCATGGCATGCTACCTACTAAGCATTGTTCCCAATCTTTGGTTTTCTTCTGTTTTTTCCCTTTTTTGTGATGAATGCCCCTCTTTGTACCATTGTAGAAATCTTACTTTGGTTGCACCCATTTGTCAATTGATTGTCCAGATAGGAAGCCTCCTGGAGTAGGACGTGGGAGGGGAAGAGGGAGAGAGGATGGTACTGGGAGGTCAGCAAAAGGCATTGGGCGTGGCCAAGATGATGGAAGCAGTAAAGGTGCAGGTGGACGGGGTAGAGGCGGATCTGGTGGCAGGAGTGGTGCAAATAGAGGTATAATATTCTTGTTCTGATTTATACAACAAAATATGTGATCCAAGAATTGTGCAGTCCGTCGTCTATATGACAGATTACACATTTTCCTAAAGAAAACCCACTTTTGTGAGGGGACTGTGCCCTGAATGTGACCGACGCAGTTTAGAAAAGCAATCCTCTCTTAGGAATTGTCTTTGACAGCTGCAAGCCTGTCAGTTATAAGGTTTTTTTTAGTTATAACCCTGTAAGGGAATCTTCTTCCTAATCAAATAGATCCTTATACTGTAACAGGTGGGGGACGTGGTCGTGGCTAATAAGACTTTTAAGGATCAAACAATGGAAAGGAGTAGAGTTGCCACTTTTTAAGGAGATTTTATTCCTTGCATACAAATCTCCAGGTGGAGTAATGGTAGATGAATCTTTTATATATTCTCTACTGCATTGTTGGAGTTCGTTCAAAAGGATTGCTTCAGAGGACCAGATTAGTGGTGAAGAAAGAAGCGTTTTTTCTTGGTTGCTTTCTTTTCTTGTGTTTTTAAGATCATAATATAGACTATAGCGTAAACAAAGTGCTTGCCAATTTTTATGTTTCTTTTAACAGATTATCCTGATTTTCTGGTCACAGCTAGCATGGTCCTCAAGATCATTTATTTTCATACTTTTAATGTATAAGCAGTAAACAGTTATTATCTACTTCTATCGCTTGAAATGGTTGCGGCAAGTGGTTCTTTCAATTCCCTTTAAATATAATGGAACCAAGTCCCAAGACCATGAATTACCTCAGACAATGCTTTAACCTATGTCGCGAAGTAGTTTGCCACATCTGACGATGGAACAGTTTGTAAGAACGGTATCGAGACAGAAAAACAGAGCAAGAATTTCTCATTTGAGTTGATAGTTTACATGTACATATATATATATAKAGAGAGAGAGAGAGAGAGGTAATGAGTCACCGATTTTGGCCACGTGGCAGATTACAGCTGTTGGTTGGTTATAACCAACCGTAGTATTCTAACACCCCCCTCTCAAGTTGGAGCAACTTGGACAAATGAGAAAAATGATCTGTGGAGACAGCTTTGGTGAAGAGATCTGCTGGTTGTGAGGTGCTAGAAATATGAGTGGTTGTCAATTCGCCCCATTGGATGAGATCACGGATAAAGTGAATCAATTTCAATGTGTTTGGTGCACTCATGGAAGACGGGATTGGCAATAATGTGTAATGTGGCTTTGCCGTCATAGTGAAGAGTAGGAGTGGAGAGATTGACTTGTAGTTCAGTAAGAGTCCTCTTTAACCACACTAACTCAAAAGAAGTAATGGCCATGGCTCTATGCTCTACTTCAGAAGAGGAGTGAGAGAAAGTGTGTTGCTTCTTGGATTTCCATGATAGAGGAGAATTTCCAAGTCAAATAGCCTGTGGTGGAGTGATGAGTCAGGAGGCAATTGGCCCAGTCAGAATCACAAAATCCATGGAGTTGGAGAGGATTGGAGGTTGAGAAGAAAATGCCACAGGTCACAATGCCTATGATGTAGTGTACCACTCACAAAGCTGCATCAAAATGTTCTTGTTTGGGGTCTTGCATGAATTGACTTAAATAGTTGACAACAAACATATGTCTGGTCTTGTTGCAGTTAAGTAGATAAGGCAACCTATCAAACGGTGATACTGGGCTGGATCTGAATATGTTGGACTGAAGGTGTTGGTGAAATGAGGTTCCATGGGTGTAGAACAAGACTTGCAATCTATCATGTTCTCGGATGATGTCAAGAGCATACTTCTGTTGACTGAGAGATGCCAGCACTTGATCTAGATACCTCTAGTCTAAGAAAAAAATAGTGGTCATTCCCTATAATGATGACATCATCAACATATACCAAAACAACAACAAAGGAGCATCTGGACTTAAATGTGAAGAAAGAATGATCAGATGGCGATTGCTTGTAACCCAAGGATGACAGTGACTATGAATTTCTCAAACCACATTCGGAAGGCTTGCTTGAGACCATAGAGAGAATTGTTCAATTTACAAACATGGTTGGGAAAAGTATGCCCAAAGCCTTGTGGAATGGTAATGTAGACTTCTTCATGGAGGTCTCCATGAAGAAAAGCACGGTTCATGTCTAGCTGATGGAGATCCCAACCTTTGATGGTTGCAACTGCAAGTAAACATCGAACAGTGGCAATTTTAGCCACTGGAGCAAAGGTGTCATGATAATCAAGGACTTCAATTTGAGTGTAACATTTTGCAACAAGCTGTGCTTTGAAGCACTCTATAGTACCATCAGCCTTGTTTTTGATGCAGTAGACCCACTTTGACCCAATGGGTTTCTTGCCAGGAGGTAGTGGTATGATGGACTAAGTGTTGTTTTGTTATAGGACTGCAATTTCATCGGCCATTGCTTGACACCATTGTGGGTCTTTGGATGCTTGGGTGTAGGTCTTGGGTTCATTTTGAAGGGAAGCGAGATGGGATTGGGCTAGTGAAGGAGGAAGTTGATAAATGTAGTCATGGAGATGTACAGGGACAGTAGTATTGCGGTATGGGCAGGGTGATAGGTGATGATGGAGAACCCACTGGGTGATTGGTAGTGGGTTCAAGTGTGTCAACATGGTTATGTGGAAGTGATGTTGGTGGTGTAGGATTGATGGCTTGAGTGGGTTCGATCATAGGAGATTGGCCTGTGTGGGTTTGGTGTTGGGTAGTGTCAATGGTGGTAGGTGGGCTAGGGTAATCAAAATCGTCATAAAAAATGACATCTCTTGTGGTGAAGATTTTATGAGTTTCTAGGTTGTAAACTCTATAGCCACGTTGACCATGTGGGTAACTCACAAAGACACAAGGATGGGCTTGAGGGGAAAATTTGTCATGTGGACGTGGTCGTAATTGGGCATAACAAAGGCAGCCAAAAACCCATAGGTGATGGTAGGATGGGGATTTGTGAAACAAGGCTTCATATGGAGAGACATTGGATAGTAATAGGGTGGGTAGTAGGTTTATGATATAGGCTGCAGTGAGTAAACATTCTCCCCAAAAGGCAATGGGAAGAGAGGCTTGAAACATCAATGCCCATGCCACCTCCAATAGATGGCAGTGTTTTTTTGCCACCCCATTTTGTTGGGGTGTGTCCACACATGATGCAGTATCCCTTGTGAAGTAAGATAATGTTGAACCGGCCTAGACAAGAATTCAGAGCCATTATCACTACAAATTTGTTTTAACAGAAGTATTAAACTGTTTAGTGACCATTGTACAAAAAGAAATCAAGTACTAACCAACCTCCGACTTGTGCTTTAATAGGTATACCTAAGTACATCTTGTGTTATCATCTACCAAGGTAAGAAAATATCTAGCATCACAAGGAGAGAGAGTTTTGTAGCCTCCCCATATATCACAATGTACCCAAAGAAAAAATGTTCTTTATTGCAAGTGCTGCTGATCGGAAATGGCAAACGAGCTTGTTTGGCTCGATGGCATGCATCACAACATAGCTTCAAATCAGAAATGGAGATCCCATGAATGAGAGCTAAACGAGATCGAGATGCGTGCCCCAAACACATATGCCAAATTGAAGAACTGACGGTGGTGGACTGATGAACACTAATCAAATGACCAATGGTGGTGGAGTGGTGGATCTGAAATGGTATAACCCATTGCGGAGCTCACCCATCCCAATCACAGTCTTGGTGAGTGGGTCCTGAAGGATGCAATAATGTGGGAAGAAAATGGCAATGCAATTTAGTTGTTGTATAATCTTGCTTACAGACAAAAGATTGCAATGAAATGTGGGAACATGCATAACATCTTGAAGGATGTGTGACCCAATGGTGATGGATCCATGCAAATTTGTGCAGGTCAGTGATTCATCTGGAAGACGGGATGCTTGTGGGTGTGACGGTAACAGAGGTATCAAACTGGGCTTCATTTAATACCATGTGGTCTGAAGCACCACTATCAATAATCCATTCAATGATAAGAACAGTATTCTTACTAATTGAGACTGAGTCTACAAAGTCAGTTGATTCTCTATTCAGGAGAGATCGATTGAGTGTATTGGTTCATAGTTAGGCCAACCACTGATGAGTTCTGATTCATTGATGTATTTGGTTGGTTTGTATTATCTGTAACTGTAAGAACAGTAGATCGGGTGGTTTTACCAGAGTCATCAGTTGGCTTTTTGTCATTTCGGTGCCGATTCTAATTTGGAGGATATCCAACGAGAGCATAACATCGATCCTTGGTGTGGCCGTTTTCTTTTTTTTTTTTTTTTTTTTGCAACACCAGAGTTTTGGTCGTGACACCCTGGTACCTTTATCCCTTGTCGTGAATATTGTAGCTTCAGGTTGCAAAGAACGGGGAACTATCATTTGTTGGGGATGCTCCTCTTGTATTATAAGGGCATAGGCCTTGTTTAAGGTAGGCAAAGGCTCAAATCCAAGAATGTTTGATCGAATCATATTAAACAATTTGTTGAGACCCATCAAAAATTGATGGAGTCTGTCTCTGTCACGGTCCATTGAGAAAATCTTGGCAGCTCCACAAGTGTATTCAAGGTACACCATGAGAGAATTTAGTTCATCCCAAAGTGTTAAGTTTTGTAAAATATGCAGTGACGGTGAGATCGTCTTGACGCAACAGTGCCAAGTCTCACTTCAATTTGTATATCCAAGGAATGTTTCCTTTTGAAAAACGATCCTGGAGTTCTTTCCAGATTTCTGCTGTTGTGTCGAAGAATGCTACACTGTTGTAGACTTCCTTTGCTAAGGAGTTGAAGATCCACGCAATGAGCATTGCAGAATTCTGCAGCACCAGCTGCCAGTTTTGGCAGAGATCCATCAACGACTAATTTATTCTTTGCTTCCAGGGCATTGATCATTGTTCTTTGCCACATGGGATAATTGTCGCTGGTGAGAGAACAGGACACAAGCATCATTCTTGGACTGTCCAAAGAAGAAAGAAAATAAGGAGAGTTGTGTTCAATCTCCATGAAAATAGCAAGACAGTTGCAGAGAAATAGTTCAATCAAGAAAGCGCCAATCGTGGTTGAGTCGAGAGTTGCAGGGAGATGACCGGATCAAGAATCGTTGAGCAGAGCAAGCACGACTGGATCAAGAATCACTGAGTAGAGGAAGCACAGCTTGATCAAGATCCACCGAACTCAAACCAGATCAAGATTTGCAGAAAAGAAACAAGGAATGCAGAGGAAACAAGGGGACGCAGATCGCCACTCGGATACCATGTAAGAATGGTATCGAGACAGAAAACAGAGCAAGAATTTTTCATTCGTGTTGATAGTTTACATGTACAGAGATATATATAGAGAGAGGTGATGAGTCACCGACTTTGCCCACATGGACACGTGGCAGATTACAGCAATCGGTTAGTTATAACTAACCGTAGTATTCTAACACAGTTATCCTGCACTGGATTTTGGCTTATTATAGAATAGGCCCAAATGCATGTGCAATGAGAGCTCTGTATAAAAGAAGGTATGAGAGCTCTGTAATTTTGCCWGTCAAATAAATGTTAGCAACGTAATACTTATTGTGGTGAGACCAAATAACCCGTTAACATCCCACTTTTTCGAACGCATTCGTAGTCCTTAGCCCTTCCTAGCACGAGTAAATCACTAAATCAGTAAAACACTTTCATTTCATGCTTCTAATTACTATTTAAGTTTTTTTTTCATTAAAAAAGAAAACGGATAAGTACGGACAGGCCCATTGCAGATTTTTGA